CACCAGGTGAAGAGGCAAGAAATGCACAGCACAGGCCTGTGATAACATTCCATCATCTGATGTTAACCGTCACAGCAGTGGGAGTATCATAAGTGACAACAGACAAAGGGCAGGTGAAGTCAGCTATAGGTGCTGAATAGCTGAAGTAGCACTTGATCAGTGTCTGGTACAGCCAAGCCGCTGCACCACTCCAAATCAGCCATACTTTCCTACTTTATACAGTTCCCATATTGCTGACTGATCCCCTGGTTTTGTGAAAATAAGGTGTCTTCATCTCCCCAGAGAGAAAGGGTAATCACAGAAATACGTTGTCTGGAAATCTTCAGGCAGTTGTAATACAAAATAAAGAACTCCCTTTTCCACCATGGCTGTGTCACTGAAGGACTATGCCACTGTCTAAAATATATGGAGTCAGAGTCTGCTCAGACTCGATGTAGAGCTATCTTTAAATACCTGAGTAAGCCTCCTGCTCAGGCCACTGTAACGCTGGTAAAGGTGACAGAACAAAACAATGGAATATTTAACAAATATAATTGTGACAATTTTCAAGACTTTGTTTCCTCTTTGATCAATGGACTCTGAGCTTGTGAACTGATTTAGATGTAGAAACTGGCAGCACATAATTTTAATTTAATTGACTGATGTCACATCCTTTTTTACTATCAATAAACAACTACTATAGTTTAGTGTTAACTTTAACTCGTAGGACTATCATGACCTCTTAGCCTGCTACACACATCTTTGTAGTTGAGACACTCTGATTGCTATTTTGACCTTCATACCAATTATGGAAATTCATCTGCCTTACATCTGACACCATGATGCCACCAGGCCTCTGATTTCTGGGATCTTTCATTCTCATTTGGAATCTAGTTTCATAATAACATTTCTTGTCATCCTGACCAACAGCAAATAGTCATATGAAATCTCAAATTTTCTACTGTCTCTCCCTCTACCATTGACAAGTGTGTTCCTTATTACATAGAGGAAAAAGAATATCTTTAAAAGCTTCTGGAATGCCGATGATAGTGGTTTCTCAAGTGTTTGATTATGCTCCTGTTCTGATGTCCTCATCTCTGAATAATCTGGCATATGCTAAAAGATCCATTTTATGCCTAATTTATTTTAGATAATCATCATTCCTAAGCTACAGCAGAATCATCACAGCAATCATTGCCACCTGCCCACTGGGACATTTAAATCTGACCCACACATGAGAATTTCCATGTCAATAAATTCTATTTGTTCTCTAAGATATAACATATCCAAGATTTACTTAAAGATCTATGCTCCTGTTTCCTGCCTTTATACTCAGTCAGAGCCATCATTTCCTTTGATTGATATGATGCTTCTTCAAAGCACAGGTATCTAATCTCCCTTGTTGAATTTAAATTAGGAAATTAATGCCTGCTAATTTCCCTAAGAGAATTGAGCATTAATACAAGCAGATCACAAGAGGAGCAAGTGCCATCTGATGCGATACCTATCAGTGTTGAATCAAAACAAAGTCTTCAGGCAAGAGAAGTTTGTGCAGTTTGTGCAAAAGGGAAAAGCTGCATCTAATGGCCTTGAAAAATCATGAAATTTTGAAAGTTTAGTTCTCGCAGGTTTGTTTTTATGAATGCCCCCCATCTGGTTTTGAGAGTGCTGCTGATTACAGTTAGGTCTCCTGTTTTATTACAGGAGAGCAATGAGTCTGTCTCCCACTGAATCTGGCTGGGGAATTTTTAGAAGTACTAGATAGCTCTATATTTTCCCAAAAGTCAAGTTTGAATCAATTATTTTATAAAATACATCCATCTTCTGTCTTGATAAATATATGTTCCAATACCCAGGTAATCTTTGTATAAATTCATAGTTCTTAAACTCCTCATTTTGCTAGATGATGGGACCATGAGTGAAATTCAACCACTACATCCCACCCAGCTCCATTCTCTTCATGCCCACAGTGATGTTCCTCAATCTGAGACCTCCTGTGAGCACACACAGAAAACCCAGCCTTCCGCATGCAAGCATCCACAGCAGGCTGCATCTTAACCATCCCTTACTCGTTGAGTTCTTCATGCTAAAGATGCACTCCACCTCTAGGAGGACAGGTCTCCCTGTGAATAGGTCTATGAAGGCACTGAATTGAGGAAGAGAATGCAAGAGATCCATATAACAAAAGTGATCAAGGAAGCAACATTTAATCCCATCCACACCAGTAGGCAGTCCAGAAAGCATCCTCAGGAGGGCAGGGCCTAACAAGGAGCAGGAGCTCTTGCCTGGACCTAGGGATACTGTTTGAAAGCAGTCTTCATTATTTATATAACTTGTATCCATGGAAGCCTAACACTGTGATGTAATATTTCAGTGTGTATTTTTAAAATGTGTGATAGTGAAGGTAATAAACACAGATGTCCATAGAACATTAGATAAAATATGAAAAATGCTATCATACCAAATATGTAGATATTTCTACCACTCTGTTCTGTTCTTTTCTTAAATTAATTGGACCCAGAAAATGCTCTCCTGTCTAAAGAAATGAAGGTATTTGATTGAGAAATTTTTAAAATATTCCTAATTCTAAAATTCCATACCTAATTTGATCTCATATTCTATTGGTCTTAATTTTTTATAAAAAGGAAAGCTTTTTATAAAAAATGTATATTTTATATATTTAAAAATATATATATTTAACTAAATATTTAATAAATATTTTAATAAAAATATATATTTTTATATAAAAAGGAAAGCTTTTTATATATAAAAAGCTTCATATTTTATATAAAAAGCAACACTAATATAAAATCTCTGAAAATATCTCTCAAAAATTGACATTATGCTTTTATTAGGACTGTGTGACTATCTCCTCTGGAAGTGCCAGGATTCACTTGAATATATACACTAAAAGATATTAAGCAGATATATTGCATCTGAGAATAAACAAACTCTAAGTGAATAAATGTTACTTGTGAAAAGTACAACTATGGATTTTATCCTGGCCAAGAACTAAAACACGTAAAGTCTTAAGAATTATGAGATCCCTGAAGAATCAGTTTAGAGAATGCTACAGCAAAAATTGCTTAATGTTGAGGTAGGCAATGAAAATCAGAGAAGTAGGGTAAGATTTGCCATATTAACAAAGTTGTTTCTCCATATTCAAGTCATATATTCTAGGAGACGCCCAGTGAACTAATAGAGCTAACATTCAAAAATGTATATGTTTTTGTTTTGGAAAAATTTAATATTCCCAATTTTGAATTATGCCAAGTTCAAGGCCTTTGGAAAGCTCTTCTGCTTACCTTCATGATCATCTCATGTAGAAATGCATCACTTAGCATTCAATATCTAAAATGGCTACAATTCCAAATAAAGTTCCTAAATACTCTTGGCCTTATGAAAAAATTAATAAATGAGTAGGTATTAGTTTTATAAAATTTAATCATAACATTTAAATATTTTTCAGTACTGCATAGAAAGAATTAGGTTGAACAATATTTATAAATTATATGTTAATGCTAGCAATGGATATACTCTCTAATCTAGCCTTCTCAAAGACTTTACTGTGAGCTTCATCTGTCTACTAATTCAACTGCAAACTAAAATTTCTTATATTTTATTATTATCCTTATAATTGAAGACAAGTCTGGACATAACAGCTTGAAAGAAACTAAAGATAGGTTATCTAAACTGGAGGGCAGATTTGTAATGTGGGAGCATGAAATGGAAAACTTCTTAAAAATAACAAGAAAACAAACAGCAATAATACAAAGGCTAGAAGATGATAAGAGGATCTATAACTTAAAAATTAAGAACATGAAGTAGGGACACAGACAAATAGACTACAAAAGCTATTCACAGAAATAATCCAAGAAAATTTCCTAATTTAGCAAAAGGTAAAGATACTCAGATGTATGAGGCATACAGGACCACAGCCACCTACAACCCAAACAGAGCTACACCCACGCATATAATAATCAAAATTCCAGAAATCCAATATAAGAACAGAATACTAAAAGCTCTCATGGACAAGAAACAGATCACTTACAAGGGAACACCCATCAGAATTACAGTAGACTTCTCTGCACAAACCATCAAATCACGAAGAGCATGGGGGGAAATAATTCAAGCATTGAAAGACAACAACCTCCAGCCAAGATTGATATATCCTGCACAACTGTCCCTAGAAATTCATGGAAAAACAAGGTGCTTCCAGGATAAAGAGAAACTAAGGGAATTTTCAACCACCAATTCAACTCTACAGAGAATATGAAAGGACATTCTAAAAAAGAAAAATACCAAGATTCCAGAAACAGTGGCAGAGAGGCCACAATGAATGGAGCAGAAAGCGAAATGAAGAAGACAAACTGACAACTAACAACAGAAAAAGAGCTCAATAGGAATGAGGCAGAGAAGATTGGATGGTAGGAACAGCTATTTTGGAGAAAACAAGACATCATAATAGCTAGTGCTGATTTAGTATCATCTTGCTTTTAAGTCCCATCAAGCTTTTGTTCTTCTGTCTCCATCCGTCTTAACAGGTTGTATCTTATTGGATTTTATTATATGTGATAATATAAGCAAAAACTTTTATAGACAAAGAGATTATACAGAAACCATTGTTCATTTTCTGATAGTTGGTTCTAAATACCCTGTAATACTGTCATTCTCTTGAATGGTTTTACATTGTCTCGATATGTTTGGTGCTACAGTATACAAAGTTATATTCAAAGATTTCAAGGAAAGAGACACTATGGTAACTACTTTTAGGTCAGGATATCTTGTGATGAAACACTATTTTGCTTAAATGGTTATGCTTTGACCTGAGCTGTTTTGTTGTTATGCCCTCTTTTATCTCAATCTCCTTTTTTTAAAAATTATTTACTTTTTTATTTTTATCTTTTTAATTAAGGGAAAAATAAAACAAAGCAGGATACATTATAGTAACTTTTTTTTCTTTTTATACATTATAGTAATTTTTTTTTCCTTTTTCTCCTTCAATTAAAAAAAAATTTCAGGAATGGCTGACACACAGTAATGTCTGCTAATGACCAGGTGAGTATATAACCTATAGATACTTTTGTTTGATATTTATAATAAAAAGTGTTCTTCAAGTTCCATTGCTGCATGTTTTGTAAATGTTGTTTAAATTCTTTTTTTCCTAAGAGAACTGTGAGTTTTAAGTATTTTAAAAGAGATATGAAATATTAATATATATATATATATATATTTTAACATTAGATATTGCAAAGTGAGTCAAATTCTACAGAACTCAAATTTAAAGTATATTGGCAATGTTTAAATTTATTACAAGATTTTCTTTATACATATCTAACACAATGGTACGGTATGTTGTTGGTAGTAAAGGTATTTTAAAAACAATGCAAATTTAATTAAGCATTCTCCTCAAAAATGACTTTGGGACTTCAAAATCCCTGTGAAAAAATAAAAGGACTATTCATCTCGTGTCAGAAGACATAGGTTTAATTAACTATTGTGTGAAAATATAGATCACACATTTAATTAAACATTTTCAGTAGCATCAGAGATTTTAGGTATCAAACAACAACTGAAAGTCAAAAGCAATAACTGAGACTACCTCATTTGCCACTTCATAATTACCCAGTGCTGGGAAAAAATACCTTGAGACTGGAAATCTTATTTTTAAAATAAATTTAGTTTTCTCAACTGGTAATCACATTTTTAGAACATATTTTAAGGTGCACACATAATATTGCATAATAATCCAAAAAGAATATTTAATTCACTTTTCTAATGAATAAATATTTGCAAACTATCAAGTATTTAATATTCAGTATCAAATACAAATATTTAATATTGCATAATAATCCAAAAAGAATATTTAACTCACTTTTCTAATGAATAAATATTTGCAAACTATCAAGTATTTAATATTCAGTATCAAATACAAATATTCAATATCAAATACAAAAGCATTTGTATTATATATAACTGAGATGAAAATTACCATAAACTTTTTAGGTATTAGCAATTTGCATTTCTTCATATCATATTCTGTGAATCAAGAATCTTAGCATGGCTTAATTGAGACCTCTGATCTACCATCCCTCACAAGACTGTCTTCAATGCACTGACCAAAACCAAAGGCTTCATTGTATTAAGGTGGATATGAATATTGGCAAGATTTACATATTTCTCTTCTGATGAGATCATTATTAACTTTCTAACTATTGGGCAGAGATCGTCTTTGCTCTGCTTCCTCACGTTGCAATTTACTTCATTAAAGCTAGCAATGGAAAGAATCAGTAGTAGATGGAGTCTCCTAACAAAATAACAGCTATAATTTCCTATAATGTGGTCATGGAAATTACACCCTATCTCCTTTGTCGTATTTCATTGAATAGTAACAAGTCATAGGTTCTGTCCACAACCAAACAAAATTTAAACCTATAAGGAATCACTTGGTAGGACAGTTACAATTTCCATGCCAGTCATTTAGAATCTATTCATAAGAACTTTGTTCCACAATCTGGGAATATTGCAGTAAACAAGACAGATAAAATGTCTGTCTTCATGTTAAATATGAATTGTAATAAAACTTCCACTGATGTGGCTATATTTTCCTTACCATTTATGGCTTTTAGCTAATGTTTTATACAGAGCGACCCAACTGTCTGAGTCTGCATGATGAAATAAAGGAGTGGAAAAAGTTAGCTGGTATTAACATCATCCATACATGAAATAATGACCCTGGAATAGCCTTGGAGCACAGGAAATTGAAAAGAACTATTGCAAAAAATACTGCTAATTGGTTGCTCTTGGCAAAGGAAGAATTAAAAATATAGAAAGTATAAATGGCTTCAAAGTTTATAGTCTCACCAATTTAAAAGAATAATGACATCTATAAACATACACTAAAAGGACATTTTCCTACAAAGAAAGATAATGAGTTTGTTTTAAATATAATGGGTTGGAGTTAGAATAAAATTTTTAGGTAAAATAGTCACCAAAGAGTAAAAGAAAAGGGATGTAAGTTTTAAAGTCAAATCAGAGATATAGAATTAGAAAGCTGTCCTCCAAAAATAGTTCTTTTTTGGTTGAGTGAAATAATTTCTGCTCAATCAAACTTGAATTGGATATAATGGAAATAATATTTCATAGAAAAAGAACAATGCAATTTAGTTTTAAAATAGTCTCAAGCAAGGCCTTGCATACCACGTGGATTAAGGCCCTGCATGACGGGACACTGTTCCTGAGATGCCCCACAGAACCAGCATTGGAGACCTCACCTAGACTTGGAAGGCAGCAGTGAGAACAAGAGACACTTTCCCAACTGACCCATCCCAGTGGTGGGTGCCCGACGTGATGAAGTAGCAGCAGAACGGTGGGAGCACTATTTTACCTCAAAGTGCTCCAAGGCTCTAATTCCAGCAGCAGAACAAGCTGGATGGTTCAAGTGCCAATATCTGGGAGTTGAATGAGGGAAGGGCTGTCCAGTCACAATAGATAGCCAACACTTTAATGACAGACTGAGGACACCTGACTGAGAAAGAGGAGGGTGAAACCCAGACTTTAGTCTGGCAAATGCCAAAAGCCAGCCCCTAGCACCAGCTGCAAAGGACAAAAATTAATCCCCTAGCCTGTGACAAAACAAGGTCACAGCTCACCCCATCCTTGGTTCAAAGGCACAAGCAAGCAAGATGCCCTGGCTGGTGACAGGACAAGGGTAGCCACTGCCCTGTGTCCTGAAGTACAAGAAGGCAAGCAGCTATGGGCTGGACAAATGACATAGAAAACCTGTTCAGAGAAGTAATAGCAGTGAATTTCCCAAGCATGGGAAAAGAATTTGACATGCAGATAAGTGAAGCGTACAGAACTTCAATTAGTCATGACTAAAATAAATTTACATTGTCAAACAGTAATCAAGATTCCAGAAATTCGGTACAAAAACAGAATATGAAAAGCCTTTAAAGAAAGGACTCCTATAAAGGAAAGCCCATCAGAATCACAGAAAACTTCTCAGTACAACCCTTTAGTCAGTGAGAGCTTGGACTGAAGTGTTTCAATCTCTGAAAGAAAACAACTTCTAACCCAATTTCATATATCCTGCAAAATTATCTTTCAGAATTAATGGAGACATAAAATACTTCTATGAAAAAATAACAACTGAAGAACTTCAGGATCAAAAATCCAGCACTACAAAAAGCTCTGAAAAATAGTGAACAAAGAGAAAAGGAACTCCACAATACCAAGATTACCAAGAATACCAATAGAGAGAAGCTGCTGGGAAGAGGAAGCAATGAGACATGGAGGAAAGACAGGAAAAAAACAACAGGAACATTAAATGACAAAGAAAAGCCAACATATGTAAACTATACTATGATGTAATATAAATAATATAATAGATCTCAATTCACCAATAAAAAGAAATAGACTAGCAAAATGGATGAAGAAGAAATGTGTGAAAATATGCTATATTCAAGTAATACATCTAACTCAAAAAGAAATTCATAGACTGAAAATCAAAGTATGAAAGACAACACTCTATGTGACAAGAAGCCAGAAAAAAGCAGAGATAGCTAACCTGTTTGCAGATAAAATGAACTGCAAGACAAGACTAAGCAAAAGAGACTAAAAAGATCACTACATATTTGTTAAGGGAAAACTCTTAAGAAACATAACAATCATCAGTATATATACAACAAATAGCGGAGTACTCACCTATATTAAGAATATTAACACACATGAAAAATCAAATAAACACTAACATAATTGTTTTGGGAACCTTAATACTTCATTGTCATCATAGATAGATCAACTAGACAAAAAATTAGCAACCAAATATCAGAACTGATCCAAACCCATGAATAAACCATCTTAATAAACGTCTATAGAGTATTCCACCTCACAAAATCAGAACACACATTCTTCTCAGTATCACATGGAACATTCTCCAAAATAGACCATACACCAGATCATAGAGTATGCTTAAGTAAATGCAAAAATATTGAAATTATTTCATGCACAGTATCAAGCCATACTGCAAAGAAATTGCAAATCAGTGGCAAAAGAAACCACAAAAAGTCCATAAATACATGAAAATTAAATAACGCGCTACTGAACAATCATTGGGACAGATAAACTAAAGAAGAAACTGAACAATGTCTACAACTAAATGACAATGCCAAGATAACATGCTAAAACATATGGGATGTGATAAAAGCAGTGCTAAGACAGAAAAATTAATAATGGTGAATTCTCACAGCTGCAAAACAGAATCTGCTCAAATAAACACCTAATGTTGAACCTCAGACTTCTAGGAAAAGAAGAACAAATCAAGCCCAACATTCACATAAGGGAGGAAATTGTACAGCTCTGAGCAGAAATTAATGCAATTGAGGCTAAGAAAATAATACACAAAATAAATTTATCAGAGTTGATTCTTTAAAAGATTAAATAAAATTAACAAACCTTTAGGCAATTTTATCCAAAAAAGGAAAGGAAAGAGTCAGATAATTGCAATTATGAATGAAAAAGGACAAAATCTCAATGTATCCTGTGTAAATCCAGAAGATCATTAATACCTATGTTAAGGATCCTCAATAAGATAGAAAATGATGAAGAAATGGTGTCTTGGTTACTTTTTACTGGTTGCTGAGACAAAATACCTAAAGCCAAAGTTGGGAAAGGAAAGGTTTATTTCTTACAGTTTTTGGAGGTTTCAGTCCATGCTAAGTTGGCTCTAAGGCAGGGTGGCATGGCTGGGCCACAGTTTGTGGCAGCTGCAAACAGCAAGCAGAAACTGGCAAAACAACAAGACACGCCTTTTTCCTGCCATTACATCACATCCTGGCTCCACCCCTATGTGAATGCAGCACTGACACCATCAATCCAAGGCCAGACAATGACCAATCACAAATGCATAAGGCAAACACATGAGGCCTGGGCGTCACCACATAAACCATGACATTCCACCCCTGGCTCCCAGAACTCATGTACATCTTTTATACAGAGGACATTTAGTCCATCTCCAAAAGTTGCCAACGTCCTAACAGTTTTAGCATTACTGAGAAGTCCAAGTCCCAAGTCTCCTCCAAGATAGATGGCAAATTCTACTGTAACCCCCTGTATAAATGAAACAAGGTTAAACATTTCTGAAATGCAAAGACACAAGACAAACATTAGCATCCCGAAAGTTACAAATAGGGGAATATAAAGCATTGGAAACAAAGCAAGTCCAATATCCAGCAGGACAAACACTAAGTCCTAGAGTTCCATGTGCTCAGCATCTGAAGCAATCTGGTTGCAAGCTCTAGAAGGCTTGGATGATTTCACCCCCACAGCACTTTTAGAGATATCAGCTCCCACAGTTTCTCTCTTAAACCCTCTCTGCTCCCTTCTTGTAGCTTTCCTTGGATGATCCACATTCCTGGCTTTTCCACACTTCTGGAGTCTCCACTGCACCTTTGGCCTCACCTTTGCATCTTTACAAATTGCCCTCTCAGGGGCACACTGCTTGGCCTCCCAGACCCTTTGCAATCGAGGTGGAAGCCATCTTATCCTCAGAATTTGTGCATTTTCCTTGCACCTAAAATCAGCACCATGTGGATGTCACCAAGGTTTGTTGCCAGCTGGAGCAGTAGCCAGGCTTTTCTTTCCCTTGACTATAGGGGTTGATTGCCTGGATCATTGGGCTCTGTGAACCTGATTGTGAAGTAAAGCTTCTCTATGTTGCCACCATTCTGGAACCTCATGTGGCCTCCATTGCCATTCTGGAGCATGGTGCTCTGCAGCTTTCTACTCTGAGCAAATTCTTTCACTTTTGCAGTTTTGAAGCTGCTTAGCGTGGGGAACCACTGTTTCCTGGGATTCTCCAGGGTCATCTTTCTTATCTCTTTGTTTCTCCTAAGGAATCAAAGTCTCAACCCTGTCCTTACAATCTACAGCTTTTCCTGGAGTCTTCCTTCTGGTCAAATTCTCAGTATTGTAAATTACCTGGTGTGGTCTTTGCCCTTGATTTGCAACATAAACCTGGCTAACCCCAACAATAGCCACGCCACAGCCTCAACATTCAACTGCTTTGAAATTTCCTTTTCCAGATTAATCAGTCCATTGCCCTTTGTTTCAGTCTCAGGCAAAGTCTCTGGGCATGAGCAAAATGCAGACAAACTTTTTGCTAAGCCCTAACACATCACAGGGAGTCCAATAACCAATGCAGTCCTTCTTCCCAGCCGAAACTTCCCAAGCCTGATCTTTACCATGAAGCTTTCTATCAGAGTTCTGATCTCCTGAGCTCTGACCAGAATCTCCTCTACAGAACAGTCTAAGCTGCTCCAGATCTATGCATCCAGGCACATGCCTGAAGCTTTCCAATATCTGCCCACAAGCCATTTCTAAAGCCCCTCAAAAGCATAGTCAGGTATAGTCACAGCAACAGTGCCACTCCTCAGTACCAAGTTCTGCCTTAGTTACTTTAACTTGTTCCTGAGACAAAATACCTGAAGCTAAAGTTGGGAAAGGAAAGGTTTATTTCTTACAGTTTTGGAGGTTTCAGTCCACACTCAGTTGGCTCCAATGCAGGGTGGCATGGCTGGGCCATAGTTCATGGTGGCTACAAACAGCAAGGCACAACCTGGGAAAAGAGCAAGACACGCCTTCTTCCTGCCATTACATCACCTCCTGGCTCCACCCCTATGTGGGTGGAGCACTGACACCATCAGTCCAAGTGCTAGACAATGACCAATCACAAATGCACAATGCAAACACATGAGGCCTGGGGGCCACCCACATAAACCATGACAAATGGATAAGTCCTTGGAATCATAATTACCAAGTTGAAACAAGAAGATATAGAATCTGGGGAACTGGCTATCAGCAGAGTGAGATCCTGCTCAACATCCCAAGACCCAAGAGAGTTTAAGATCATCAATCCCAGTGGTCAAGGCTATGTCCAGCTTCCAGCCACACTAGACTGGGATCTGCAGGTTTCAGGCCTGCCTAGGATATGCCCAGTGACTATCTTTCAATCTGGGTAACGGGGCTGCCAGAGGAGGGAACTGTGCTGCGGGAGTAGGTCAGTACCTACACACCATCGCAAGCTCCAGGAGAGTTTAAGATCATCACACCCAGTGGTCAAGGACTTGCCAAGATTCCAGCCTCATTAGACAGGGCTCTGCAGATTTCAGGCCTGCCTGGGCCACACCCAGTGACCTTTCAATCCAGGGAACTGTGCTGCTGGCAGGGGTGAGTTCCTGCTCACCATCCTGAGCCCCTGGAGTGTTTAAGAGCATCACTCCCAGTGGTCAAGGATCTGCCCAGCTTCCAGCCACACTACACTAGGCTTGGGAGGTTTTGCAGCCTGATTAAATTACACCCAGCGACCTTCTTCAATCAGGGTAGTTGAAGGCATGTGAAGTGAGTTCCAACCCATTGGTCCTCGCCTGGGGAGTGCTTTGGACCATCATCCACAGTGGTTAGCTGCTTGTCCAGCTTCCTGGAACACTAGACGTGACATGGGAGGTCCTGTAGGCCTGACTGGACCACGCTCAGCAACCTCCTTTCAGTCCCAGGAGACGAGGGCATAGAAGACGATTTCCAACATGCCCAGGGGAAGCCTTGGAACAACACTTAGAATACAGAAATAGCAAAAGACCAAAATGCAATCTCAAACCTGTAGCCCATCCCAAGAAAGCCTAGGAGCCATGCACATAGAAGTAAATATATGTCATACACCTGAAACACCTGAAATAATAGCAACGGAAATAAAGAAGCAACTCTGGGAAGCTTTAAAGGAATTCAAACTAGAATAATCTCCCAGGTAAAAGAAGAAATGATAAAAGTAATGAAAGAGATGATGAATGAAAGTAATGAAAAAATAATGAAAGAGATCTAAAGAAGATACAGTTAAAAATTAGAGGAACAAAACAAAAGGATAGAATCCCTGGGTAAACAATATAAGAAACAAATAGAATACATGAAGCAGATTCAAAGAAATATGCAGGAAATCAAAAATTCTACTGAGAGTTGTCAAAACTGCCACAATGAAAGTAAGATAGAATTTCAGAACTCAAAGACAAGATTGCAGTTAGTGAATAGAAAAGGAAAGATCTTTTAAAAATAACAAGGAGTCAGGAAATAACAATTTAACAGCTGCAAGATGATGCAAAGAAAAAAACATAAGATTGAGAGGGATAAATGAAAAAGAAAGGGACAACACAAATGACATCAAGAGACTATTTACAGAAGTAATAGCTGAAAATTTCCCAAACATGAGAATGTCGAAACTGACATTAGGATCAGTGAAGCATATAGAACTCCAAATAGCCATAACCAAAATAAAACTACATCCAGACATATAATAGTTACCATCCTAGAAATTCAACACAATGGCAGAATATTAAAATCAGTTAGAGAGAAAAGACAGATGACCTATAAGGAAAACATATCAGAATCATAGCAGACTTCTCAGAACAATGAAGTCAAGAAGAACATGGAGTGAAGTATTTCAGATCCTAAAGGAAAATGATTTCCATCCTAGACTAATGTACCCTGCAAAAATGTCCTTCAAAATTGATGGAGAAATAAGATACTCCCATGACAAAGAACAGCTGAAGAACTTCATGATCACCAAGCCAACCCTGCAAAGAATACTAAAAATCAGTTTAGATACAAAAGGAACAAAACCATTAAGCAAGGCAGACAAACAGAATGGAAAGATAAAGATGCAACAGCAGAAAGATAACATATCAACAATAAACCAATATATAAAAGTTATAACCATTTATGTAAATGGTCTCAATGCATCAATTAAAAGAAACAGACTGGCAGAATGGCTTAAGAAACAACATCTAACCATATGTTGTCTACAAAAACCCATCTAATACAAAAGGAAACTCACAGACCTAAAGTCAAAGGATGGAAAGCAATAGTTCATGAAACAGGAATCGAAAAAAAGCAGCAGTAGATACTCTATTTGCAGACAATATGAACCTCACACCAAGAATGTTCCTAAGAGATTAAGAAGGTCACTGCATACTGGTTAGGGGAAAACTTCAAGAAGAAGAGATAATAATCTTATATATGCACCAAATTCTAGAGCACCCAGTTATACAAAGCAAGTATTAATAGAAATGAAAAATCAAATTAGCAACAATACAATTATAACAGCAGACCTTAACATACCATTGACACCAAGGGACATATCAACCAAACAGAAAATAAGCAAAGAAATAACAGAACTGAATTACACCTGTGAACAAATGAACTTGATATACATATACAGAGTGTTCCATCCAAAATTAGGAATATACATTCTACTCAGCAGTACATGGGACATTCTCTAAAACAGACCATATACTAGCCACAGAACATATTTAAATAAATGTAAAGAGTTGAAATTGTCCCAAGCATGCTATCAGATCATAGTGCCATGAAACTAGAAATTAATGATAAAAGAAACTGAAAAAAAATCCCACAAACACATGGAAATTGAATAATACACTCTTGAGCAGTCAGTGGCTCACAGGAGAAATTAAAGAAGAAATTAAACAATACCTACAAGCAAACTAAAATACAAATACAACTTACCAGAATCTGTGGGATGCAATGAAAGCAGTCCTCAGAAGAAAATTGAGTACACTGAGTTCCCACATCAGGAAATCAGAACAAATACAAATCAACAGCCTGATGCTACATCTCAAACATCTAGAAAAAGAAGAGCAAGTCAAGCCCAATGCCAAAAGAAGGGAGGAAATTATAAAAATCAGACCAGAAATTAATGCAATAGAGACTAAAAAAATAACCCAGAGAATCAATGAATCAAAGAGCTGGTTCTTTCAAAGAATAAATAAAATTGATAAGCCCCTAGTCAACCTTATTTAAAAAAGGAAAGAAACAGCTCAAAGTCATACAATAAGGAATGAAAAAGGTGAAATCAGTACAGACTCTTTGGAAATACAGAAGATCATCAGCACCTATTTCAAAACCTCTACTCTCCTAAGTCTGATAACACAGAAGAGATGGAAAGATTCCTAGAAACATATGAACTACCAAAGCTGGGTCAAGAAGATGTAAAACTGCTGAATAATCCACATTCTATTTATGATATTGAAAATGTGATTAAGTCTTTACCTACAAAAAAGAGCCCAGACCCAGATGGATTCACTGAGGAATTCTACAAGAAATACAAAGAAGACTTACTGCCAGCACTCCTCAAACTCTTCAATGAAATGGAAAGGGAACAATCCTTCCTAAGTCATTCCTGGAAGCAAATATTACTCTAGTACCAAAACCTGAGAAAGACACAACTAAAAAACTACAGGCCAATCTCTCTAATGAACACAGATGCAAAACTCCTCAATAAAATATTAGCAAACAGGATGCAGCAAATAATCAAGAAGATTATACACCACGACCATGTGGAATTCATGCCAGGCTAAAGGATGGTTCAACATATGAAAAGCAATAAGTGTAATCCACCATATCAATAAAGCCAAAAGTAAAAATCACATGACGATTTGTATAGATGCAGAAAAAGCTTTCAATAAGGTTCAGCACTCATTCATGATAAGAAACTTACAGAAAATTGGAATAGTTGGTCTTTACCTCAGTATGATGAAGGCCATCTACAACAAACCAACAGCCAGCATCATATTAAATGGTCAAAAACTGAATGCCTTCACCTTAAAATCAGGCACAAGTAAAGGATGTCGCTTATCACCACTCCTATGCAACAAAGTACTAGAAATACTAGCAAGAGCAATTAAGCAAGTGAGAGAAATAAAAGGGGTAGAGATAGGAAAAGAGCAAGTTAAGTCATCATTATTTGCAGATGGCATGATATTCTACATAGAAGACCCTCAAACTCCATTGAAAGACTCCTAGATATAATAAATAAATTCAGCAATGTAGCTGGATACAAAATCAATACTCAAAAATCAATAACATTTCATACACTAACAACAAAATCACTGAGATAGAAACAAGAGAAGCCACAACCATCACACTAGCATCCAAAAACATGAAATACTTAGGAATTAATCTCACAAAAGGAGTAAAAGATCTGTACAGGTAAAATTATAATACTGTGAAAAAGGAAATTTAAGAGGATCTCAGAAAATGGAAAGATATCCTTGTTTTTGGATAAGGAAAATAAATACTTTGAAAATGGCCATTCTCCCAAAACTGCTATACAGATTCAATGCAATCCAATGAAAATACCATCAACATACCTCATAGATCTGGAGAAATCACTCCTCAAATTTATCTGGACCCAGAAGAGACCTAGAATAACAAAGACAATTCTAAGCAGCAAAGGCAAGGCAGGAGGCATCACAATCCCTGACTTGAAGTTATACTACAAAGCAGCTGTAGTAAAATCAACATGGTACTGGAATAAAAACAGATCTGAAGGGGTTGGGGGTTTAACTCAGCGGCATAAGCGCCTGCCTTGAAAGCAGGCAGTCATGAGTTCGATCTCTGGTACCAATAAAAAGGAAAAAGACAAAAAAAAAGTACATTAGATGATACAACCACAACTACAAACACACTCAACCACCTTATGTTTGATAAGGGGCCAAACATGTTCACTGGAAGAATCACAGTCTCTTTAATAAATGGTGCTGGATAAACTGGCTTTCATATGCTGAAAACTAAAACTAGACCCATGCCTATCACTATGTACTAAACTAAAATCTAAATGGATCAAAGATTCAAATATTAAAACAGAAACATAAATCTGTTGGGAGACAAATTAGGTAAAAATCTTGAAGACTTAGGGATAGGTAGAGAATTCATGAACCAGAATCAAACCCTATGGGAAATACTTCCTAGAATCAATAATGGGTCACGTCTTATTAAAATGTTTCTGCATGTCAAAAGAAATCTCCAGCATAGTGAAAACAAAACACACAAATTGGAAAAAAATCATAGTGACCTGTCCCTCAGACAAATGACTTCTGTCTAAAACATATAAAGAATTAAAAAATCAGACCCCTGAAATTCAAAGACCCAATCCAAAAATGGGCTTCTGAGATGTGTGCACAATTCTCAGAGGACGAAATGCAAATGGCAAATTAATACATGTAAAAATGTTTATCATCATTGGTCATTAGAGAAATGCAAATTAAACCACACTGAGATTCCATCTCACTCCAGAAAGAATGGCCAGGATCAAGAAAACTACCAACAACAAATGCTAGAGAGGCTGTGGGGGAAAAAGGAACTCTCCTGACTTTTGGTGGGAGTGTAGACTGGTGCAACCACTATGGAGATCAGTCTGGATATTTCTCAAAAGCTGAGATTGGAAGTCCCATTCAACCCAACTATTCCCCTTCTAGGCATATTCTCAGAAGAACTGAAAACATCATACCACAGTGATACATGTTCACTCATGTTTATAGCCGCACAATTTGTAATAGCCAAATCTTGGAAACAACCTAAGTATCTATCAACTGAGGAATTGATAAAAAATTTGTGGTATTTTTATACAATGGAGTACTCCTCAGCTATAAAGGATGATCACATTGAGATATTTATAAATAAATGGGTACAGCTTGAGACCTTACTCATAAGTGAAATAAATCAACGTCACATGTATAAATACCATATAGTTTCCATAGTATAAGAAATGGTAGGAGTACATAAGAGTTTATGGTAATCATGATTCCCCATTACATTGTTTTGAAGCTTTATAATGTTTGCATTCATTATTTGGAATGATTTTATCCTAGATTATTTGATTTTATTATCTGTGATCGTATGAACAGCTATTTGGAAGAAAACAAGACATTATAATACTAGTGCTGATTTAGTATCATCTTACTCTGAAGCCCCACCATGCTTTTTTTTTCTGTTTCCATTGGTTCTATCATATTGTATCTTACTGTATATTATTATGTGTGATAGTATAAACAAATTTTCTGTGGAAAATGAGATAATACAGTAGCCATTGTTCGTTCTCTGTTACTTGGTTCTGAATGCCCTGTAATACAGTCGTTCTCTTTAATGGTTTTATACTATTTTGTTATGTTTGATACTACAGTATATGAATTTATGCTCAATTATTTCAAAGAAAGAAACATTATGGTAGTTACTGTTAATTACATATTATATTGTGGTGAAATACTGTGTTGCTTACATTGTTCTGTTCTGATCTGCTCTGTTATGTTCTCTTTTGTCTTAATCTCTTTAAAATAAACAAAATTTTAAAAAAAAGAAAAAGAAGGTATAAAAATTGTCTATAACATTATCAGTCAATGAAATTGAATATGTAATTAAAAGCTTACTGTTAAAGAGAAGCCCAGGTCCTGATAATTCACTGCTGAATTTTACAAGAAACTTAGAGAAGATCTAATGCTACTACTTGTGAAATTCTTTAATGACATCATAAAGAAACAGTACTCACAAAACCATTCCTGAAAACAAGTATTAACTTGATAGTAAAATCAGAGAAGGACATAACTAAAAAAGAAAACTACAGGCCAATCTCCCCAATAAACATAGATGCCAAAATCTTCAACAAGACACTAGTTAACAGAATATAGCAAATCATCAAGAAAATTATATACTGTGACCAGGTAGGATTCATCCCAGGGATGCAGAGATGGTTCAACCTGTGCAAATTAATAAATGTAATATGCCATATTAACAGAGCCAGGAACAAGAAGCATATGATCACTTCAAAGTCCAAAAAACCATTTATGATTGAAATCTCTACAGAAAATCAAAATAGATGGTCTTTATCTCAATCTGATATTAAAAAAACCATCTATGACAAATCAACAGCTACCATTAGACTAAGGAAAATAAAAAATTAAAAGCTTTCTCTTTAAAATCAGGAACAAGACAAGGATGTCCATTATCACCACTCCCATTTAAATTAGTTCAGGAAACATTAGCTAGAGCAATTAGACAAGAGAAAAAAGTAAAAGAAATAAAGATAGAAAAGGAAGAAGCTAAATTATCTCTATTTTCAGATGTCATGATATTCTATGTAGAAGACCCAAAATTCCACCAAAATACTTCTAGATTTAACAAGTAGATCCAATGAATAAAAAGATGATTTTTCTATGCAGTGGAGTACTATTCAGTCATATGGAAAGGTAACATTGTTATATTTATAGCTAAGTAGATGTACCTTGAGACCATACTCTGAACTGAAAGTAAGTGGACACATGGGTATAAATATCACATTGTCTCTCTGGTGTGAGAAACTGAAACTGTAAATAAGAACCAAAATGTATAATAGATTTATGAAACAGGAAGTAAAGGGAGAGGGAATTGAGGCAGGGGCTTGGGAGGCGAAAGTGAGGAAAAGGATAGAATGGAAACAAAGCTTTGTAAATAAGGAGGGGAAGAGGGACTAAAGAGAAGGAAAGGGAATGGAGAAAAAGGGGAACTAAGATACATCACGGACAGGTTCAAATCGCCTACAATGAACATGTTGATCATATGCATAGCTAAACTGTACTAATAAACTTAACAGTAAAATTTTAAAAGTCTTTATTTGAAATGTTAGTTTACCTGTTTCAAATCAGATACATGCAAAATCTAAAGCCATGACACTCTCTTTCATTCCCTGCATCCTTCTGACTATGCTTCTGTCGATGCTGGTCCTCTTACACTGCCTAAATACTGAGAATTAGTACAATGCCTTGGATTGAGACAATATATACTAATCACAATGGGAAAATTGCTTATCTTCTATCTTTAATCTTTCAACAAATATGGATACTCACCTGTGCCCATGTACGTTACTGATTTAGTTTTAACGCAAATGGCCTGATGATGTGAGACACGCAACAAATTAAAAAAAAAACTATTACTATTTATGATCATTGTTGTTATTTAACATTCTAGTGACTATGGCTCTTTGCCCCTTTATATTTGTCATGTGTTTAAATTATGTGGTTCTTTAAAATGTTTACAGTTAAACATTAAGAAAGGCTTTGAATTTTTAAGGAGAAGACCCTGAATATATTAACTTTTAAGTTTCATAACACTTTGCAAACACTAGGATGTGGAGATGTTCAGTAAATATTTAATGATTGAATTTTGTATAAATCCAATTGCTGTATATTTGCCTCTATTATAATACACTCTCTGTAAAGTCAGAGATTGCTGCATGTTTTATTCATTTTTGTATTTCTTCTGCATAGAGGTGCATTGCTAAAAATCAGGCATTCGATAAATAATATAAGGAGTGCAGTGATTCTCATTTTTTATTTTCTACAGTTTCAGCTACGCAGGATCAAAAACAGTATGAAACTATTAGAATTTGTCTTGGCTGTCAAGAGAGATCATATTCATGTAACTTTTATCACTATATATTGATGCAACTGTTTTAATTTAGTATTAGCTGTTCTTTTATAATGCACATTTGTAAATTAAACTATCTTCTGTACATACAGTATAAATAAAATTCATTTAATTTTCATTTTCAAGCATTTAATAGGGGTTTGGGGATGTGCTCCTCATAGACACAGAGGTAGAGGGGACTATTGTGCATGATTTGTTTAGTCACTTACGTAAATTTCTTTAAAAATGAACATTAAGATAGTCAAGTTAGCTAAGAACTGGTTTGATTATTCAGCAGCAACTATTTCTAAAGAACTTTGATGATTCAAGAGCATCTATAACTTTCTGTCTGAGTCTATTCAGGGAAACTGTGGAAGGAATTCTGAGAGTGAGTCAAAGTGATTTGGGGCGAGGATTTTAGCTCATTTTATAGAAAGGGGTCTACACATAAGCTAAAGCTGAACTGAGGCCATCGGCCATGGCTTGGAAAGGACAGGGACACTGTCACTGAACCTTCTAGCAGTGGCCAAGCTGGAATCAGAGAGGAATGAAGACTTTGTGCCTGAGAGCAGAGAAGTAGATGGCGGTATCTTCAAGCTGTCCTAGTCCTTCTCACCTCCGTGATTTGTTGTAAGTCATATCTAAACCCCTGATACTGAGCCACTCTCTTGGAAAAATAATGTAGATGCAAAAAAGAACTAAAATATCAAAACCTATTCTTTTCTATGTATTCTGAACCAAATCTGGAGGGCCAATGAAAGTTGTAGGAATTGAGGAAATTTGGAATGTAGTCACAAAAGAATGTCGCCCAACTTAAATCAATTTCCCCAAACATGTTAAGTATGGGTACTGTGAATCGGATTTGGACCTCATGGTACATGTGTTTTAGCTAAAAAATTTAAGGCTGTAGAGGAGACGGATTTTTTTTTCTTTTTGAAATCTTTGATGAGCAGAATGCAGCTGCTATTGAAATTTATACACAGGGTCTGATTTGAAATGTCTTAGAAAGTTTCTTTGATTTTTCTTTCTTTTCCTCTTCTTTCCTTTGAACCAAATTGGTATCTCCAAGTTCAAGAGTCAGACCTTGGATATTAAAGAAAAAAGAAATTGAGTACTAGATTCTAATATTTATGTTCAGTGATTGAAATAGAAAAGCTTATAAACTAGAATTGCTTATGGTTACTTCACTTTGTGTTGTGAATTACACGTGTTACAA